CTTGGCTTCAAACTGCTGTGGGGGGTGAGGGCATCGGGGAGAGGGGGTTATGTAATGCCAGACATCAGGGACACGTATGCCTCAGCGCTGCCTGTCGTCTCCTTCCTTCCAGTGTCCAATGGCCCGGCCGAGATGGCCTCGCTTGACAGCAACCCGTTGGTATGGAAAGAAGGGCGCCAGCTGCTGCGGCAGTGAGTATGGGGAGCGCCGGCTGGGCGGAGGGGCTGGGGCAACCCCACGGGGCAGGGAGCAGGAGGCCAGTCATGCCCTTAGGTGGATCTCTGGCCTCTTCTCACCCTCCACCCATCCCGGCTTGTTCCACGCCTCTTCAACCCTTCCCTCTTGGTTACACTGAGACGTGTCACCTCCCACCGACGTGCCAGCTCCCTCCACGCTCTGCCCCAGAAACAGCTGCGTTTTGGTGGTGGCCAAAGCAGCTTCCGTGGGCACATGAAGGCAGGGCCCTGCCTCTGGCTGCGCCTGGGTTTGACACCCAGCACCTCTTGAGAGCTCGGTCCGTCAGGGTTTTATGGAATCCTAAAGTGGGGGCTGGAAGGGAGCTCCAGCCAGTCACGTCTAGTCCAGCCTCTGCCTGAGGCAGGATCAGCCCTGTCTAAACCAGCCCAGACAAATCCATAATCCAAACTCTACATAGGATTGCTGTCAACCCTGACACAGCACAGACATCACACCCGAACCTGCCCCAGGGAGAGCAGGGGGACCATGGCAGCCAAATGTCCTGCTGCTGCCAGAGGTTGCTAATATATGCTTGAGATCCCAGGCAGAGGCTGTGTCCTCATTACAGAGGAAGGCAAACCCTCCCAGTCTGACCAGGAGAGGGAAATCCCTTCCCGACCCCAGTGCGGTATCGGTCTGAGCCTAAGCAGAGTGGCAAGACCCTCTAGCCAGGACCCCCTGGATTTGAGTCTCAGCAGGAGCATTGGCACAGCCCAGTCCCCATCCCCAGCCTGGGCTGCACCCAGCGTCTCTGGAGAAGGCTTAAAACCCCCCTGACACCTGGAGCAGAAGGCAGGGGGGACCAGCAAAGCCCAGAAGCCTGGGACATCCGCACAACAGAACCCCTAGGGCATCACCCCCAACCCATGGCTGTCCAACCCCCCCCTTGAGCACCTCCAGGGATGGGGCATCCGTAGCTTGATCTTGAGGTCAGTCAGAGACTCCCTCTTGGTGCCAGGCAAAGACAAGGACCCCCAGGGCTGCAGCTGCTTTCTGTGGAGCCAGCCCCCCACCCAGCCTGGTATCTGCAGTGGGGCCACAGTGGTGCTCTTGGAGACCTTCCCCCCACCTCACTCTTAGCTTGCCTGACTCTTCCCCCCTCTCCACCAGGTACCTGGAGGAGGTGGGCTACACGGACACCATCCTGGACATGCGTTCCAAGCGGGTGCGCTCGCTGCTGGGCCGCTGCTCTGTGGAGCTGAATGGCGCTGCCGAGCCCAGCAATGGGGGGCCTGGCCCAGGGGGTCTTCCTGGCGGCCAGTCCCTGCTCGCCAAGCAGATTGAGGAGCAGATCAAGAGGTGAGCGCATGCTGTGGATGCCCTCCCCCCTGATAGGGGCATCACCATGGGCCCTTCTTCCTGGGGCTGGGCCCCTAAATAGGGGGAGGGGAGTCTAGCTGCAGTGGAGGAGGGGGTCTCTGCTGTGAGGAGAACAAGGGTGCCTGCCACATGATCTAGATCAGGGGTGCTCAATCTCTGGCCCTCAGGCCAAATCAGGCCTACAGAGCCATGGCATCCAGCCCACGGGGCTCCTTACAGGTCGGGAAATTTGGTAGCAGGGGAGCGATGGCTGGATCAGAGCTAGACTGTGCCCCCTTACTCCTGCAGGGCTGGGCCACACCTGCTTTCCCCTGTGCAGCTGGATTGGGGCCAAGCCCCCTTGTCCTGTGCAGCTGGATCATAAAATCAGAAATCTTAGAGCCATTGGGCTGGAAAGGAGCTCCAGGGGTCACATCCAACCCCGTGCTTGAGGCAGGATCAGCCCCATGCAAACTGCCCCAGACACATACAGCATCAAGCCTCTGAACAACACAACACAGTCACCCCTGCCCCTGTTAAGCAGGGAGGCTGTGGGGGGCAATGTTCTGTTGCTGCCAGGGGGGTCATGGGCGCTTCAGAGACCCCAGGCTGAGGCCGTGCCCCTGTTGCAGAGGAAAGCCAAACTCCCCAGTCCGGACCACTCTGAGCAGGGGGGAAATCCGTTTCTGCCGCAGTGCAGCATGGGACTGAGCCCAAGCACAGGGGCAAGACCCTCCAGCCAGGACCCTGCAGGGCTGGTGCCAGCAGCCCAGCCCCATCCCCAGCCTGGGCTGCAGCAGCACCCAGCACCTCTGCAGGGGGCTTAAAAACCCCCGACACCTGGAGCAGAAAGCAGGGGATCAGGGCTGCGCTGGCCCCAGCCATCCCGCTCTGTGGTGCTGGGTGGGGCTCCGCTGCACCCACTCCAGGTGCTGGATCAGGACCACCGGCCTCATCCGGCTTGGGCGTCTCCCACCCAGCCCATGAGGCAGAAAGGTTGTGCACCTTTGGTCCGGCTCAGGGGTGTCAGACTCACCCCAGCCTGGGTCCAGGCACTTGGCACTCCCAGTCAACATGAGGGGCATTTGCTGGGATGGCAGGAGAGGGGGGCTGGTCTCTGCAGCATTGAGACCACAGCTCGAGGGGCTGGGAGGGGCTGTGAGCATGGGAACGGCTCTGCCAGGAGCCGGGGCGCTGTGTGACCTTCCTCCCTGAGCCCAGGGACCACCAGGGTAAGGGGTTGCTTCCCCAGCGAGGGGTGTGGGCCAGCCAGACCCTTGCAATGACCGTGTCTCAATGCCCGGGGGCAGAAATGCAGGGAAGGAGTCGAGCGAGCGGAAGGAGTCGAGCGAGCGACTGGGCGGCGCCGTGCTGGACCAGATCCCCTTCCTGCAGCACTGCGAGGATGAGGACAGTGATGAGGAGGAGGATGTGGAGGGCCTCCCCCTCCAGGCCCCACGGCAGCACAAGAAGCAGCGAGTAAAGGCAGGGCCAGGCGTGGGGCGTGGGGATGCCCGGGTCCCTCTCTCCTCTCCTCCTTTCCTCCCTGCCCTGGGAAGGGAGCACAGCATGTCGGGTGGGGAGATGCTGAGAGCCAAGGGTCCATGCCCCACTTTGTTCCCATGCCTCAGTTTCCCCAACAGGGTTAAGGGTTTGAGGAGGGCTGCTGTGGCTTTAACTCCTTGTTGCCCTGTGCCTGCCTGGGTGGACAGGGGCACATTGGCCTTCCAATCCAGGGGGCACAGGGACCAGAGCAGTAGCCACCAGCTACGATGACTTCGGCCCCTCCAGCCCCGGCCGTCTGAACTCAGGCCTGTGGCCTGTCCTGCAGCGTGCACTGGCATCCAGCTCCTGTTAAAGCTGGGGAAACTGGGGCAGACAGCAGAGAGGGGCTTGCCCAAATCTTGGGATGGAGTTGGGAAAGGGGTGGGGAACCCAGCTGTGCTGGGGGGTCCTGATATAAAGCAGTTAACCCTTTGTGGGCGGCAGCCACCCCCCCCCCCCTCAGCTTGGGGAAGGGGTGGCTGGTGCAGATGGAGGTGTCCTGCGCTCGCTCACCAGTAAAGTGCCCCCCCACCTCCCGCAGGGGGCTGCTGACCCCTCTCTCTGCCAGCAGGTCCCAGCCAAGACCCTGCTGCCTGAGGTGGAGGACGAGGACGATGACGAGGACTCTGAGGACGCCCTTGGCGAGTTCGATTTCCTGGGCTCTGGCGAGAACAGCGAGGGCTCGGCCGGTGGGCGGCGCCCCGGGGACACCATTGACCTGGGTATGAGCAGGGGGCCAAGCTGGGACTGGGCCCAGGGTTCCCCAGCTGCCTTGGCACAGCCTGCACTAACCCTGTTGTCGGGTGTCACCCGAAAGCAGTCTCCATTCCTCCCTCCCTTCTCTGCTTGGCTGGCTCCACCTGCCAGGCTCCATTTGGTCCCTCTGGATCTCCATAGCCTCCCAGCCCCGTGCTGCTCCCCCGCACCTGCCCAGGTAGGCTCGCCGACCCCCCCAAACTGCACATTGCCAGCAGCACCCGTGGCCCCTGCCTCTGCCCTCGGCTGGTTCTCGGTGCGAAATGCCTCAGCCTATGTGCATCTGTTCCTCCCACTCTAGCCCATGGGGGTCCAGCCTCCCCTGACAGCCCCCTGTCCCCCCAGAGCCGTGTCCCTGGCTGCAGGGACAGAGCCGGGGAGACATGCAACAAACCTGGTCCAGACAGACCTGTTGCCTGTGGAGGTGGGGACAGCAAGAGGGCAGGGAAGGGGCTTGGGGCATGTACTGAGCGGCTGCCGGCAGCCAATGTTCTGTTGCTGTCAAGGGTTGTCAGTAGATGCTTGAGAGACCCTGGGCAGAGGCCAGGCCATGTCCCTGCTACAGAGGAAGGCACCTACTCCTTCGATGCGCCAGGGCTTGTATGTGCTCACTCTCCACCCCTTCAAGGTGCTGTAGCAGGTTGGGAGGTTACTTAGCTCAAATGAAGTCTTTTACAGTCTTAAATTTGGCACAGTCCTTTATTTCCTGGGTGCACTGGCCTCGCAGGACCCCCCTACACTCATCCATCCTCCAGACCCAACCATGATATCGTTCATGCCAAGTGCACTCAGTCCCAAGTCTTCTCCCACCCCAGAAGGTACCTGCGGCTCACTGTTGCTCGCTCCGCGCCGCAGTCTGCCTTCTCAGTCCGGCTCTGACTGTGGTGTAGCTGCTTCCAGCCTTGCAGCCCCTGGGTCTTCTCCCATACCCCGTGAGAGGGCTTGCTGCTGCTTCTAGTCTTGTAGCCTTCTGTCTCACCCTGTGGTCTCTTCCCAGATGCAGAGAGGGCTACCACAGCTCTATACTGCAGTCTTTCAGCTCAGTCTTCGTGGCTCACTGTCTCCAGCTCTTCCTCCCCTAGCTCCCTTCCCTGGCACTTCTTAACTTCCCATGGCCAGCCGGTTATCTGCATCAGCTGGTCTAGTTCTCCAGGCAGGTTGTAATTAGCTTTCCACCACTTCCCTCCTACAAGTGTGCAGACAGCTACGGCCTGATGTGTGCAGCCTCGTGCCAGCCATCCCGCTACACGTCCCCTTGCCCCTGTAACAGGTGAAAGGGCCTTGCCAGCTTCTACAGTGCCCCCGGAGGATGGGGCAGGGCACCAGGTGAACCAGCAGAGAGATTTGCAACGGTTGTTGTGATGCCAGCTACCTGATGCGCTTCAAAGACCCCCCCAGGGCAGCACTTCAGCTGTGGGGGTGCCAGGGCCGTGACGTATGCTCCTTCCTCCCCCACAGAGACGCGGCGTGTCAAGCTGCAGGGCATGCTGGCTGACCTGCGTGACGTGGATGGGCTGCCTCCCAAGCCGGCCGGCCCGGCAGCCGTGGCCTCACCGCGACCCCATGAAGGTACCACTGGACATGGGGTGTCCCAGTTTCAGAGGAGGGGTCTGCCACAGGGACCCACAGCACGTCCAGGGGCCCCCAGGTCCAGCAGATACCCCCTGCCCAGCATCCCCTTTTCACCCCTGCAGCCGGCTCGCTCAGCTTCTCCTCCGATGTCTTCATCATGGACACCATCGGGGGCGGGGAGGTGAGCCTGGGGGACCTTGCCGACCTCACCGTCACCAACGACAATGAGCTCAACTGCGATGTGAGTAGCCCCCATCCAGCCCTTTGCGAGGGTCCCTGTCTAGTGGGTGCCTAGCTGCCCCTTCAGTGTCCCAGCAATGCCAGTCTGAGCCCGTTCACCTGGCATCCAGAGGCCTGGAAGAGCAAATTGAGCACTCAGGGCTGCAGCTCCCATCAGCCAGACCCAGAAAGCCCTGGATCTGAGCTCTGGGGCATTCTCACATAGGCTGAGCTCTGACCCCTGGGGCCTGGCAGAGCACCTGCCACCTCAACCAGGCTGACCAGTGCCCAGTTGCTTCCCCCGCCCCAGTGCCAGGGCCAGCCCGGGCTCCCTGCCCCCTTTCACTTTTCCCTTCCCCTGGACAGAGTCCCTGTCCAGTTTGCACCCGCTGGACAGGGACTCTGCAGCATGAGTTTAAAGCATGTTACCCACCAGTCCCCTTTCCGGGACTGACCCAGCTCCAGCCCTGTATGTGAGTGTAGTAGGACCCTGCAGAGAGATGCCAGCTAGCGGCACCAGGAAAAACCAGCCTGGGGGGAGAGGGCCGGGCCAGGCCAGGCTGGACAGGGCAGGAGGAGGGTGGCTGTACCCAGCTGATCCCCAGCTCCCCCCTGCCCCCCCAGCTGTCAGACAGCAAGGACGCCTTCAAGAAGACCTGGAACCCCAAGTTCACGCTGCGCAGCCACTACGATGGGATCCGGGCACTGGCCTTCCATCACGCTGAGGCCGCGCTCGTCACCGCCTCCGAGGACGGCACACTCAAGCTGTGGAACCTGCAGAAGACGGTCGCCGCCAAAAAGTGGGTGGGGGCAGAGGGGGGTGGATTGGGGGACAAAGAGGGTTGTGGGGAGAAGGAGCTGGACTGGGCCAAGGTGAAGTGGGGTAAGGGTAGGGCAGGACAGGGGTGGGGGGCAGGACAGGACCTGGGGAGATTTGGAGCCAAGGTTTCAGCCCCCTGTGGGGGGGTGGGGGGGTCCTTACCCGTGCAGCCCCTAACCACCCTTCCCTCCCCTCCCCTCCCCCCAGGAACACCGCGCTGGACGTGGAGCCAGTCTACGCCTTCCGGGCGCACAGGTGGGTCCCAGCGCGGGGAGACTGTCACTGCCGGCCCTGGCCTGGGCAATGGGTCGCCACACATAGTACCCCCCTGCCCTGCTCTGGGGTCCCTGGGGGCTCCCGTACTGGGCTGGGGCAGAGGAGGAGCCCTGCTGGCACTGGCTTCCCCAGAGGGCCTCGTTCTGCTCCCCAATCCCCCAGGGACAGGGCGCGGAGGTGAGATCCCCTGCCCCGACAGTCCAACGCAGCTCGCTCGGGCTGGCGCTGTACCACCCCCCAGCTGCCCCTCAATGCTCCTGAGAGCAGCCGGGGAGCACCCGTAGCCAGGATCCAGTTGATCACGTCCCATTTGCCTCGTTGCTCCCTGCCAGCATCGTCCTGTGACTCTGCCTGTTGCTGCCTGCCGGGCATTGTGGGAAAGGCCCGGGAGGACACTTGGGGTCCCCTCAGCCTCCCCCCTCTCCCCGGTCTCTCTCCCCGCAGAGGCCCGGTGCTGTCTGTAGCCATGGGCTGCAACAGCGAGTTCTGCTACAGCGGCGGCGTGGACGCCTCCATCCGCTGCTGGCGGGTCCCGGAGCTGGGCATGGATCCCTATGATGGCTACGGTGGGTGCAGCGTGTGTCCCTTCCTTCCCCACCCCACACGTCTCCCCCTGCGGTGGAAGAGCATGGTCCCAACAGCATCTGGTTGGAGTGGGTGTGTGGGGTGCAACCCTGGCCCTGTGGTCTCCCAGCATGCCGTGCAGCCTGGCGCAGAGCAAGCCATGCCAGGAGCAGGGCCGGGGCATCCCCTTGCCTCTCCCCCTCCTGACCTGCACCTGCACCTGCTCTGGCGCAGACCCGGGTGTCCTGGGCACTGTCCTGGAGGGCCACACGGACGCGGTGTGGGGCCTGGCCTTCTGCCCCACGCGGGGCCGCCTGGTGTCCTGCTCGGCCGACGGCACCGTACGCCTCTGGGACCCCAGCGGGAGCCCCTCCTGCCTCAGCACCTACAGTGCGGACAGCGGTGAGTAACCCCCCCACCCGGCGCAGGACTTCTGGGTTTGAGCCTTGGCTGGGTGGTGGGAGGGCACTAGGACCCCTGGGATCTGCCTGTGGCTCCGTGGGGGGAGAGGGGAGGTGTTGCAGCGCCATCAGCATGTCGCACCCCAGAGCACATTGGGGG